CCCCCCAGTGGGTTCCTTGCTGTGGGGAAACCCTCCGTAGGTGAGTTTAAAAGCTCCCCAGGTGACCCTATTGAGCTGCTGGGGTTGAGAACCACTGAAACAATCCACCTGCTTGAGAGGCTGCTTGGGCTCTAGGACAGCACAAGGCTACGGTCACCCAGAGATGCTGCATCTTGCTCGAGGGGCCACCTCCTTGTGATGTGTTTACTCCTGAGCTGTGCACGTGCGTGTGTGAGGGGTGAGGGCACCTGGGAAAACCATATTGGTCGAGGAGTCTCCATCCAGTAAGATGCCACACTTGTTACTCATTGGCCAGGGGCAGGCGCAATAGGAAGCAGGTGACCACCAGGCTTCAGTCAGCCACTCTGGGCAGCCCTCACTTACTGCACTCCCCCAGCGGGTCTCCCGCCCACTCCTCTGCCTGTCGGACTCTTGATACACATCTCCTGATGCCATCAGGAGGACGTCACCAACTCCACAGGGTGAGGGTGAAGCTCACATTAAACTGAGTTAACTCATGGGAAAGTGCCTCCTGAACAAAATGCTGTACAATTAGAAAGGGTATTATTATTTTAAGGGAGATGCCCAGTTTCCAGTGGATATGAACAAGCTGTTCTTATAACAGGAAACAAAGAGGAAATCAACATTTGGTAAAATGTTCTACCTTGGTATTGGTAAAAGAAGTACAAGTTGAATAGATAATAACCCTATAACACCACTCTCTAAAAAATAATAAAGCTTGATCTTTAATTATAAATTTATACAATCATTAAAATTGAGCCTGGGAGCCATGAAGGCAACTCAGATGGAATTGTGAAATTCATGTGAAATTGTCAAATGAAAAGCTGACACAAATGTACATACATACATAAACAATGATTACAACTTATGTAACAAATGTGGAACTCCCATGCTAGAGACTGGGACAATGTAAGGCAGCTCCTAATGACGGGCATCTTACTGTAAAAGGGGTACTTACTTCTCTTTAGTACTTCAACGTTTTAATCTTAAAGATAGCTAAAGATCGAACTTGATCTTGTAACAATAATTCACTCACCCAGACTATGTTCGGATTTGGAACAGAGGGAAAATGACCTCTAATAACTATGGTTTCAAAGTCCCTGATATTTACCCCAATACTCCTGTACTAGGGCATGTTCTGGCCTAGGTGGCTCCAAGGCTCCTCTAGACATGCCAGGCAGTCCCGTGTAGCTACCCAAACTGAGGACAAGATCAGTGGGTAAGGGCATTTCCCCTTTCACCCACTGGACACCCTGAGAACACAACAGCAGCACTCAGGCAGGGGACCCAGGAGAGCCAGAGAGGAGTGGCCTAGGGCTCAGGGTGCAGGAGGTGCCCAGGAGGTGCCCAGGCTCAGCCCGACCCCACTAATCCTGCCTCCTTCCTTTTCTGGTAGGTGATCACCATCCCTCCAGTTTTCAGTTCTACTCAGCACTGCCTCCGCCCACACGCCGCCCGCCCCGCTGGTTCACCGGCCCCATTTCTGTCCTACCCATCTCTTGTACAGTGGCTCCGCTCACCGTAGGTCAGGCCAGTCAGGAGCAGCAGCAGTAAGAGGAACCACAGAAATGTCTTCAGGGATGAGAAGCGCCTGGACCAGGAGAGGGGTGGGCAGGGAAGGCAGAGGTGTCAAGAGGGCTCCAGGACCTCTAGGTTCCCCCTAGGGAGTCCCTTGAGATTTTTTTCTGAGTGCTAAACTAGAGCTGAAGGGGACACCCTTGAGTGTCTCATCTTGCCAGGGCCATACTGGACTCTTTAGGGGTCTTGGAGTCATGGGGACAATTATGACCCTGCAGATTTTACCGATGCTATTAAAAATTAGTAGTGGAGTCTTTGAAAAAACTTAAAATGCAGAAAAAAATATGGAACGCCTTAAACAACATTTTCTTTTAGAAACATGAGGAAACTATTTTTGGCAACACAAATCCATCCTTGCCCCTTTTCAGCATAGCTCACCACCTACTCCAACCAGGATTACGGCCAGAGGGCCCCTGACTTCCTGCCTCACTCCTCTTTCCTCTGCCAAGGGCCCGTTCCCAAATCCTGGCCCAAGCCCCACGGCATCCTCAGGCAGCTCCTGATCATGAGGTGGAAAACCCTGAGGTCTAGGTCATCACAGGGCCAAGAAGGAAGCCAGATGTTCTGGAAACACCACTGGTGGGCTAGAGTCTAAGGCCCAACCAGCAGGAAGAGGCCAGGCTTGTCTGAAACTTCGTCTGGAACTTTCTGATTCATTGTCCAGGCAGGAGCCTGCTCACCTGGTTAAAACGAAGACATCAAGGAGGGAGGCAGCTGTCGTCAAGCGGTACCAGGTGGTGCCTACCCACCAGTAGAGGAGTCCAAAGAGCCGGCCTGGAAGAGGGACCATCAGGCCTAAGTATCGCTCCCAGCCAGCGGCCGCCTGCAGGTCGTGGCTTCAGGGCACCACTTTCTCTCCACCTGCGGTCCTCCCTGCCCACTACACCAACCTGCCAGGGTGCCTCTGCCCTGTCCTCCAGCTACCCAGTTCCTCTAACCCCACCCGCCCACTCTGCCAACGCCCTCAGTCCTGCTCCACAGCTGTTCCTGCCCTTCCAAGTGAGGATATTCCCATGGCTCTTGGCCCCAGGGATTATTCTAGAATGAGCTTACCCCGATGGTCCTACAGTCTCTGTACAGGCTGGATACCCAGCAGCAGAGTGGGTGAGAAGGGCCTGCTGCAGGGAATGGAAACCACTGTGCACAGAATAGCCAACACCCACCTGGAAATGTGACCACCGTCCATAAAAAAGAGCCTGCCCGAGAGACAGCGTGCCTCAGCCGTGAACCTGAACTCCGCGGGTCCGTTTCCAAGTATCCTGCAGGGACGGAGGGGAAACCAGCTCAGTCTGTCCTCACCTGGAAGAGCCCTGGAACGTGGAGACTGCCTATCACTTGTCTTCCCCCTTAAACTGCGAGCTGAGACCACGGGTCATTCTCCCCCACATTCCCAGAGTGCCACGCAGGCTTGGCACCCAGTCGGTCAGTGCTATTGACAGAGCTTTCGATAGGTTTGTGACACTTTGTTTCCTGTGAGCTCCTTGGCTTGCCTCCCTCCTCTCACATGCAATCCCTCAACCACTGTTCAGAACTAGACCAAGGGATTGGGCAACCGGTCTGGGTGAAGCCTGTGTTAAAATGCTTGCTGGAAATGAGCAAACAGTGGAGTTGACCCCAGGCCTAGTGGGGCAGGGACAGTCCAGCGTGCTGAGGGACACCCCGGGCTGGGGTTCAGGGCGCCAGGGTGGCACAGGAGGGACAGCCTGCCCATCACCTCCCCAGCAGTCCTGGAACCTGCTGGAGCTTCTCCCCAAGCCGAGGTGGACGGTGCGGCCTACCTCCGTAGTCATCCTCAGAGGAGTAGCCAGAGGAGGACCCAAGGAAGTCCTCGGAGAGCTTGGCCTCTACCAGCCCGTTGATTTTGCTGTTCTCGGTGCCGCCTGTGTCTCTCCTCCTCCTCACCCGCAGGTCCTCACCTGAGGGGGGAAGAGCAGGGCTTTTCCTGGGGCACAGAGATGCTGAGGAGGTTATTCCAGAGGCCTCGGGGGACCCGGATGGAGTCTGCCCTTGGCCTCTCCCAGCTCTCTGGGTCCCTGTGGCGGTGAGCTGGGCCCAGCCCCTCTGTCTGCTGGGCTTGGAGCAGCTACGTAGCTACTTGATCATCTAACAGGGCCTGGAAGTTCAGACCCCTGGCTGCTCCCCCAGGGGCTGCTGAACCCAGGAGCCCTTCCTCTGGCCCAGCAGGGATGGAAACCTGGGGGAAGGAGCCCGCACTTGGGACCTTAAGTTTCTGGAGGAAGCAAAGCCCCAGGAGAAATGTTCCAGATACTCACTCCAATAGGGGTCACTATGCAGCTGGTCTTCGAGGATGGAGCTCCTGGCAAGGGAGGCGGCCCGGGGGCTGCCAAAGTAGGACTCCCGGACCACGGACTCGCTGTAGTAGGTGTGCGTGTCCGAGGGGCCCAGCTGTGGCGCTGGGGACAGGCGCTTCATGTTGCTGGATTTCCTCTTCTGGGTCCTGCGGGGTCAGCCAGGAGGGAAGCAGGGGAAAAGGGAGGTGAGCCCAGCCCCCACAGGAAGCTGGGGACTCCACCCTGCCCCCCAGCAATGAGCGGGTTGGCCTTGTTGCTAGGCAACTAACAGCTCCGACTACAGGCGGACTGCAGAGCAGAGCACAGGTAGCTTCTCTCTAGTTATCTCCAGATCTCATTAGCAGGTAGGCCAGATCCTCAAGGTGATAGTCAAGATTCAAATCCAGGCCTCTAACTTCAAAGCCAAGTGTTTTCCTCATGCTTCTTAATGGATTAGTAATTTCTACAGGCCACTGAAAACCCAGACAAACCCAACCTGGTCTCCAGGAGCCTCAGGGGCTGCTACGACGGCTCATGTCCTCAAGAGGGGCAGGATGAGGCAGGTGCCCACCTTACACATTTCCTGATGACCCTGGGGCCCACTGCTCTCCTTGGCTGCTTGGCTGGCCCTACACTTGGTGAGACACACGGGTGTGGGGCTGGGGACAGTGTGCAGATGGGCACACCTATCCATAGCAGAAGGGGTTTCTGTGAGCCCAGCTGGCATGTCAGGTTTCCAGCCTGTTTTTTTCCTGAGCTGCCTTTCCCCACTTCCTGTTCTCTGACCGCGAGGGCAGCGCCTGGCTTCCAGGAGGGAGAAGACGGGATGCTCGTCCTCGCCTCCTCGTAGGGCTGGATGTCCCCTTGACTGGACATGGGCATCTTATCTCTGCCCATGAAGGTCACAGGGAGAGGCCGTGCAGTGAGATGGCGAGCCCTCTGCTCCGCGCATCGGCACCGTCCACAGGGGGCTGCGATCCCCTACCTGAAAGGACTGTCTTTAAACAGTGTGCTCTGGCTCCCCGCCACCGAGCTCCCGCCACTGCTGCTGCCGCCATCGTCGTCCCCCTGCGAGTAGCGCGTGAGGCGCTGGCTTCGACGAGACATGATGAGGTGGGATGGGGACCCTTCCCCTAAAGAGAGTCTTGGGAGAGAAAGGAGGACAGGTGAGGCTGGGTGGATCCTCCCTGGGGGAGGAGAGACCAGGCATTTTCTCAATCAAAACAGCCTGAGATGCGCACCGTTCCCTGGGCTCACTCAGTGCCCAGCTGGCCTCTTTCCACAAGGTTTCCTAATTTCAGTTTATGTGACACTGAGCTCCCTGAGAGCCAGAACTGTACCTTCGCAACCTTTGACATGTGGGCACACAGGAAATGCTAAATGAATGCCTTTGATCGCTGCTGCTCTGCACAGACCCTGTAGCCCAGCTGTTTCCCTGTAGCTGTTTCCCTGGTGGGACAAGCTTTTCTTTCTTGTAGCCCTACTCACTGATCAGGGCCCCAGTCAAACTGCGACTCCAGAACACCTTTCCCTGGTCCAAGCCCCCTGCACTCTAACAGTGGCTGTATGCACTATCCCCTTGGCTGGTTACTCTCCTGCAGCATCAGGATACCTCAACATGACAGTGATGATTAAAACACTATAAATGCCTCCTAGGTACCTGGCTCCTTACATCCCCATTTCTGATCCTACAAACAAGGGAGACATCATTAGTCCCATCATACAAGGGAGGAGACTGTAACACAGATGATCCATGACTTGCCCACAGCTACCCAGCCCTTAAGTGACAGAGCCAGGGTTTGAACTCAGATCTCACATGTGACAGGGCCTGGATCTTTCCGCCCCACCATGAAGTTTTCAAGTTGTTTCAGGAATGTGTTGTATGTCCCCAAATAGAGTCTTTTATATCCTCAAATATGTTCAGAACGGGCTGTAGACAGAGTTGTTACACAATAAATATTTGTTAACAAACTAACAAAACAGGTTGTGGAGCAGCAGTGTGAAATCACAGGGGCAGGAAATCGGGGACTCAAAGGAGGCCCGGGTGAGACACCTGGCAAAAGGCACCGTTCTGCCACCTGAGACCTAACAAGCTCTAGAAACCCAAATTCAAAATCTTGGATTACCAATGTGAGGCGTGTCAACGTGCTGCCTCCGCCAGCCCATGTTACAGTCATTGTCACTTAGGCCCACTCAAGGGGTCCTTGTATTTGTGATCTGCTGTCACTTCCAATATTCCTGGTTGATCCTTAAATTACTAGTTCTCTGGGTTGTGTGGTGGGCATGGACTCTCACACACCCCAACTCAGACTGTGGAAACCAGAAGGTCTGGTTAGTCCAGTCGGAGAATTCTAGAAAGTCCTCTTCTGAAAAGCAAGCGGCCTCATGTCTTGGTCTTATTGGCATCTTCTCAGGTGGGATGTTCACCTGACATCCTTCCCTGGTTCTAGCGGGCGTTGGTGAGGGACTGACTGGTGGCAGCCAAAGCAGGAAGCTGGCCTGGGCTCCTCTGTGTTTCACGCCTTATAAGGCAATTCCCTCCCCCTGCTGCCCTCCCCACCTGAGAGGCCAGCTGCCCACACAGGCTCCTCCTCTTAGCTCTGGCCCCGCAGAAGTGGAGGCCTTCGCTGGGCGGTGGAAACAAAGCACTGTGTTTACACAATACTGGAGGCTCGGGCTGGCAAGAATATAAATATTCATACGGGGGTGGGTGGGAACTGTCAGTGCGACAGCCCAGCGTCCCAGAGGTGCCTCTTAGTCTTTCCTGTGGCAGGCTGGGGTCGCAAGACAGTTTGCAATCCAGTTGGGGTTTCACAGGCTGAAAAAAGGTCAAGGCTTCATCTCCCAAAACAGAACAGGAGATAAGCCTCTAGCAGCTCCAGTCTTTTGCATATGAGGACAGACACCACACACACACACACACACACACACCCCTCCCCACTTCTGAGCTGAGCCACATCCTTTCTCAACTCCACCTTCCTCCACCCCCACCCATCACAAACTTCTACGGCAGTCTCTCTCCAGCGTTAGACTTAACATGGACCTTGGGCATCTTCCACGGGCCATTTGCCCTCCCGCGCATCTCACACTCCGTCTCCCCCCGGGGCCAGTAAAACGCTCCAGGTGCCAACTCCCTTCGTTCCCCCCCGGCTGAACCCGCAGCGATTGTTACCAGCCACGCGCCTT